GGGAGAGAGAGAGGTACACAGATGTGTCGGTGGTGTAAGATCGCTTTTTCATTTCTCAATTTCTTCTTTTTTTTTTTTTTTGACAGATGAAATTTTAAAAGACAAACAGAATGGGAGGCCATTAGTACTAGCAATGCTAATCATTCGAGAATTACCGATTTGTAATTCTCGACTTCGAACTTATTTTGCTTTCTAGCGCCATTAAGCTATGTGATATTTGCAAGCAATGAAATGTTTTATTGATCAAATAAAATCTAAATGAGTTTTTTTTTTTTTTTTTTTTAATTTTATCATCATTTCAAATTAATTTGTATCTAAGTATTATCGATTAGTTTATAGTAACTTTTGCAGATGATCTATTGAAATTGATTTATTAGAAAAAAAAAATTGGAAATAATAATAACAAGATTGCATAGTTTGTCGAATTATTTTAACAAAAATAAAAGTTGAAAATTAAAACTGATTTAGAACAAATTTAAATTGATCAAAGATCAGAATATAATTATTTGTTTTTGATGTTCAGATAAATAATAAATTATATTATAATTAAATGTATTAAAAAATTTCGATTATTGTTTTTTTTTTTTTTGTAAACAAAAAAATACAAAAATTTTTGAATAAATCTATTTTTTTTTCTTCTATTTCTTATTTTGGAAAAGTTTTTAATAGCATTTTTTTTTCTGGCAGTAAAAATAAAATATTTTAAATGAAATACTGAAAAGCAATGACCGAAATAAGATAAATTTTAGAAAAAATGGAATGAAATCAATTTTTCGAGCTATTCCTTCTTTTTTTATTCCTTTTTTTAAAAGAAAAATCTAAGAAAGAAGAGGTGAGAGAAAGAGAGAGAGAGAGAAAGAGAGAGAGAGGGAGAAAAAAAGAATAAAAAAAGTTGATATTATATGAATGAGAATTATTTGGTGAAAAAATATTTTGACTAAAAGATGAACTAGTACTAATAAAAAAAAAGTTTATCTAAATAAAATATATTTGATTGAAAAAATGAATGTTAGATTTTTTGATGATAAATAATCTTAGCAAATTGAATGAAATTTTCTTTATGCAAATTGTTTGCTTTATGTTCGAAATGTTAGTATTATTTGCAGTTACAATAAGCGCAATTTGATAAACACTTTACCATTTTTTCCGTTCTATCAATTTGTTTGTTTATTTGCTTATTATTTCCATTGTTTATTTGTTTTTGTTTGCTTACTTGCTTATTGTTTTTGCTGTTTGGCATTGCTTGTTTATTTGTTTGTGTGTTTGTTTATTTATTTGTTATTTGTTCCTTATTTAGTATTACATTTGTACTACTTACATTCGAAATGCAAAAAAAAAGGTGCAGTTTAATTATTATTTTAAAGTAAATATAAGAGATATTTATTCTCCCACTGCTACGATAAATATTTTACTCGAACATGATTCAAACTTTAACTTCTAAGAATCATTACTTATTCCTCTACTTATATTATTTATTTTTGAAGTAAATATAGCAAGAATCATTTTACTGCGATAAATATTTCATTCAAATCTATTTTAAACACTAACTTTAATTTATAAAAAAAAAGAAATAGCTTCAACAGCACGAAAAAGAAAATAGCAGAAACATTGATAAAGAATTGAAAATTTTAGAAAGCAATTTAGTTTTCTCATTAATTAATTAGATGAATTTATCCGTTGATTTTTTAAAAATTTTTTAAGCAGTTAAATAATGATTGAATAAAATTGAAATACATAAAGCAAAGGATTTGTTGGTTTAAAGATTTGTTTAAATTTGAGCTGTTAGAAAGAAAATAAAAAAGTAAATTTTAAATTTTTGAAGGAACGAAAAAATGAAATTCTGTTTTAATTCATTCTAACATTTCTAATGCATAAAGTTAGTTAAACAGTAAAAAATAGCGAACGGGGCGGAACTGTCAATTTCAGTTAATAACGATTTGAACACAAAAATTTTGCCATCTTTATTTTTTTTTTTTTGTCACTTCCAACCATTTTTTTTTTTCATTTAATTTTATTTTTTATTTTTTTGCAGAAAATTAATTTATTAACAATCTAAATTCTCTTTTCTGTTTGTCATCTAAAAAATTTTGCAACTGTAATTTGAGAAGAAACATTGATTTTATTACTAAAACTTTAATAATATTATTTCTCAGCTCCTAAAACAAATGTAACATTTTAAACAGTTTATCATCCTTATCATATCTCAACTAATTTGAAATATTTATTTTAGTAATTGGAAGAAAAAAAAAATCTGATAATATTCGAATGATTCAGTAAATTTTTAAAATATCACTTTTTTTGATTAGTAAAGAAAAAAAAACTGAAAGTTTCAAATTTTGTATAATATGCACAAATTATATTTAAAAAACAAACAAATAAGCTATCGTATCATTTCTAATCAGTAAATGATAGAAATAAAAAATTTATCATTACGAATTTATTTTGTACTATTTGATAAATTTAGATTTACGAAAAGGATTAAAAAATTTCAAATCGAATTTTTAGATTAGATATAAATCAACCGATCGACTATTCCTTAGCTTTTCATTTTAAGTGAGAAAAATTTTTTGAATTCAATCCGTTGGCTACTCTTTTAACCTTTAACCTTTTCTTAATATTACAAAGAAGACATCAATTTGTTAATTTTAATTGAAGTAATTATGAAACATGCAATAGTAAAATTTACATATTAGAATGAACCAAAATGAAAATATTTCAGTAAATATGTGTTTGTGAATTTTAAATAAGCAATTTTTTAGCATTAAAATTTAGCAAAATTTTAAGATATAATTCATTAAGGAAAAAAAAAATCAAAAAGTCAATTGGTTCGATTGATGAAATTATCGAAAATTTTGTCAAAATTTACGATGAATCATCGTAAATAAAAACAATTCTTAATGCTTTTAATGCATTTTTTTTATTTGTTAAAAAAATATTTCGAATTTTTGCAAAATTTCGTGTTTTTTTTTTTTAAAAAAAAAGGAACCATCTAATTTTGCTATAATATTTCCGGTTCATATTAAGAGTTTCTAAATATAAATATTGAAATTTTCGTTTCCTTTATGACTTTTATAACTTATTTTCTTTGTTTGCAAATGAATCCTTTTTGCAATTGATAAACTTATAAGTTAAATTCAATTACTAATACAATTACCAGTATTAATTATTAATCTGCAAAGATTGTTTTTTTAAATTTAGGAAAAAGGAATTCAAATAATATTTTTTTTATAAGCGCAATATTCTTCATATCTATTAATTTTAGCAATAATTCAAAATTTTACAATTTTGAATTTATTACAGAGATTAGAAAACAGAAACTTAAATGTATGATATCAAAAGTACAAAATCAAAATTAAATTAATGAAATAATATGCGCACTTACTATGACACTTTATTGATGATTCATTCAAATGATTTAAAATTGAAAATGCAAAAGTGATAAAGAAAAATCGAATGAAAATTCATCAATTTTAAAAGTAAAAGTAATGAAAAAGTAAAGAATGACTGATCAATGACATCAACTGCATTTAATATTTTCCTTTTGAAATTACAAAAATTTGCGGAAAAATATCATTTAGCAAAAAAAATTTTTTAACTTTTCCATCTTTATTCGAATTCAATTTTAATTTTAATTAAGTGTTGACAAATGAGCCAAGCATTTTTCCCCTATTTGGCGCATATGTCAGATACATTTGAAATGTAATTAAAAATTAAAATTGAAATGATAATTTAAGAAGAGATGATAGTTTAAAAAAAAAAATTCTAAATTATATTGCAAATATATCATTTTTTTTCTTTTTTAATTTGACATAACAATATTCTTTGATATTTAAAACTTTTAATAATGCTACTGAATAGCTCTGACACATCTGAATGCAAAGGATAACATTTAAACTTGAAATCAAAAATCCAAATGATTGGAATTTAAAAATTTAACAAATATTCTTGGATGTTGTTGAAATACTACTAATATTATTCATTTATTCATTCATTATTATTTATATGTTTTGAATATTTATTAACGTACAATGCCATATGCTTTTCTCGTAATCAATAATAAATTTCAACAATTTCCTATTCAAAATAAGAAATTGTAATTTAAATTTTGCAAAGAAATTGATAAAAAGTGAAATACTTGAAAATTATTTTAATAAAAATGTATTCTTACAATGATTTCAATGGTTACAATAATGATTTATTAAAATTTTCACATAACTTTATTATTATTCATGAAATCATTTAAAAAAAAACCTTTTTTTTTCTCATAAGTACTTATTTAAATAAATTCTTTCTTTTTTGAAGAGACAAAAATTGAATTATTTCTATGGAAAAGAAGTTTGATCATTCAATTATATACATTATTCTTTGATTTGATTGATGACAGTCTCTCTCTCTCTCTCTTTCTTTCTCTTTCCCTCTCACTCTGTCTCTTTCTTTCTCTTTATTTTTCATTTTAATTTTTAATTGAATAATTTACTCAAAATTTACTCATTTGTTAATTTTGACTAGTCAAGCAATTACTTACTATTAATGTTTTTCAACATTACCAAAATTATTTGAAATTTCATTTCAAATAATTTTAAAAGTAATAAAACAATTTAAGAGACAAAAAAAAAAAAAGTAAAGAAAGTTAACAATTCATTGGCATTCATTTACTCATACATTTATTTATTACTTTTTATCATTTTAACTTTTCAATTACCCTTTTACACCTTTTTTTTTCCGTATTATTTATTCAGTTTTTTTCATTGAAAGTTTATTTAGTAATATAAAATATTTCAAAAAAAAATAAAATAAATTTAATTGTTAAATAAATGCTTAATTATCAATTATAACTGTTTTAATTGCATCATTTTGCATGAAACGAAACTAATTGATATTTGTAATGAAAATAATTAAAATCAAAATTTAATGAAAATAATTTTCAAATATTTTATTACTATTTTTCTTTTTCGACAAGGAAAAAAAAAGGAAAAGGAAAATGAAATTATTGAAAATATTTATATATTCAAATGTGGAGCACTAAGCATAATGCAACATGTTGATAAGATGATAAACATTGAAAAACAGATAAGACATGCTCGATCAACAACCATCGCACTAAATTTCCAATCATTTTGCAAACGTTCCGATTCTTCTTCCTCTATCATTTGATCACTAATCTTAAAAAATGAAAACGTAAAATTAATAAAATGCTATTTAAGTATGAAAAATAATAACTGATAAAGTGCATTTAAATATGGATGTGAAAATTGATACTATTTAAATAGAGAAATTGATAATTAACATATATGAAATGATTATGCTAATTATTTGAGATGATAATCACTTGATAACAATTGGATTAACAAACTATAATAATTCATAGTCCAGTCTAATTAATTTATCCAATTGATTTGTTTGATCTTCATTTAAATCTAATTAATTAATTTGATTTCAATTAGTTTTTAAATCACAAAAAAAAAACCTGTTTTAATTTTACATAAAGTTGATGAAGTAATAAAATCTGAACATCAGATGCATTTCTTCTTTCGGATAAAATTACTTCATTAATTAACGGAATATAATCATCTTCTTTTGTTCTACTACTCGTTTCCGATTCCGTAATTGCTTCACCACAACTGTATCTAAAACCGGGTCGTGACATCATTAATAACCACGGAAGCCATTCCAGTAATATCCGTCGAACCTAAAAATATACACTTTTTTTTTCTTTTAAATTTAAATAATTAAAAATATTCTTTTAAATTGTTAAATAATTAAAAGCACACAAATGGCATAAAGATGAAAAAAAAAAAAAAAAAAACGAATACAAGTGGCGTCATAACGTGACTTTCAGACGTCCGAAAATGTAAATTAAGTATGATAACGGTAAAAACAACAGATGCTGAAACGACCAACATACAGCATGAAAAAAATACACCTGAAATAATCATGATTAAATATATCAATGATAACAGGGATCATAATGATAATTTCAACTTTTCATGATGATAAGAAATGAATGAATATTCTCAATCAATCTTTTAAAAATTTTTTTAATCTCTATTGAGATATTTAAAGAAAAAAAAAATGAAATTTCTGCGAGAAAATTAATTAATTAAACAAACCAATTAATGGTACAGCTTCACTAGTTGAAGGTGTCATTTCTGCAACCATACTCAAAAAGAATACGATTGATAGTAAAATTGTTATTTCTACAAATAAATGCTTTTTAAAAGTAAATATTTTAATGTAATTTTATAAATTCAAATGTAATTTTTGAAATTATCAAAAATTAATTTTAAATATTATCAGATCTTCTTTTTTTTTTTTTTTTTTTTTGAAAATTTAATCTAAAATTTTGCATACTGTTTGATACTTTTAATATTTACAATAAATAAGAATGATTTGATAAAATTTGAAACAAAAGTATTAAATGCAATGAAACCTAATGTAATCTTTTCTCCAGCATCTGGTGGTAATGTAAAACCAAGCACAGTCATCAATGAAATTAGCAAACTTGGTATTAGCAAATTGAAACCTTTAAAAAAAGGATGGAATTTTTAATTGTAATTTTAAAATTTTACTTAAATAATTGTTTTTTTTTCATCACTGTATTATTTCGATTGAAAAAACTTGAAAATGATATAATGAAGGCAAAATTCAAAAGTTTACATTTATGCTTTATAAATTAAAAATTAGAAAATAATAAAATATTTTCATAAAATTAGTTTTTTTTTTTTTTTTTTAAAAATGATATGATGATGTAAGGGGCAAAAAAGAGAAAAAAATACGAGAAATAACGAATTAAAAATTTATATTTATGTTTTATAAATTAAGAATTGGAAATTGAATTATTAATCAAGCATTGAGTCAATAATACGTGTACGTTATTAATCGTACGTATTAATTAATTAATTAATTTATTTATTAAAGTAGAAAAAATGACAAAAACTTATTAATTACTAAAATGAACCATAATATAGCGTTCTACGACGTATATGCATATAGAATGTAATTGTTGGATAAGGTTCTGGACAACATACAAAACGTTTAATATTACGTACGGCAGGCGTAGCTATCAAGTCCCATTCACCGCTTATGACGTAATCACTGATATCCATTTGATGTGCTTTAATTAATCAAAATAAATTAATAAACAAAGAGAGCAATGATGAAAAGTAAATAAATTAGCTATGATAAACAAATAAATAAATAAATAAATGAATATCTCAAAGCTGTAAAAAGAAGATAGAAGTAAATAATTGTAAAAGATTCTTATCAATTTTTTATTAAATGTATTTTCGTAAGAGAATTTAGCAATATTTTATTAGAAAATCAACGAAATCTTGTTAGAATGGAATGAAAAATGATAACTAAATCAATGTTATCAGCAAGTTAATTAATTAATTAATTAAAATATTTACTTGAATTGCTATCATCAGCATCAATTTGTAAATCAAGTGCAAATCCATTGTGTGTCCATGAACCAAACTATAAATTGATTTTTACTAGTTATGGTAAAGAAAGTTTTTATGTACAAAACAGGTCTCTTATATGTGATCTCTGATCAATCTATTGATTAATTGATTTGATCCATAATTCATAACTTTAACTGCTATATTTAATTAGGTAAACAAGATTAGTATTATATATTAGTCCCATTCTTCTTAAGATCAGCTTAGTTATATCTTGAGGCTAATTTCAATCTGATTATTTTAGGCCTTTTTTTTAAAGCCAAAAGTATTTTACCAGAGAATATTTTGTCTTAATTAAATAAATAAAAGTGTAATATAAATTGTAACAATTTATTATTGGTTAATTAACTAAGGAGAAGTTTATTCATAAAATGCTAGAATACAATACTTACTTTTAGGCCACAAATTTGATCATCAAATGGGAACCAGGTAATATCCAATTTACAACTAAATTTCAAAATACCTGGTGGTATCCAATTCACTTCACCATTACTATACACTAACAAATTACTTTTGAATGTTGAATCGAAATTATCGTCGGCACTGTAAAGAGGAAAAATATTGAAAAGTTTTTTTTTTTTGAATAAAATAAAATTTTTTAGGTTTATTGAAATTGACTTTTTCAGAATTTCAAATATAATTTGTTTTTCCAACTATTATGCTTCTTATATATTTCATTTAAATGTTTGAAACATGGTTTTAAGTTTAAATATTTGGAATTTGACAATACTTCAATTTTTTTTTCTTCGCAAAGAAAATTTAAGTAAGAAAAAAATTTGTGTAAAAATTTAAGCAAAAAATTTAGTAAGACCTGTTGTACAATAGTATATCAGGTCTCCATATTCGTGAATTATCACCTGGAAAATGCAAATCCTTAATGCCACCATATTCTCGGGGATCCCACTTTAGTTTATAATCCTCCCAAATCTATAATTTCTTCTTGTATTCATTAGCATAAAAATTAAAAAAAATAGCTGTTTATTTTTTCTATTATTTTTTTTTCTAATCTTATATAAGACACAAAATTTTACAAAATTTTTTAAACTATTTAATTAGAAATGAATAAATTAAAATATGCAAATCAAAAAATATAAATTAAAAAATTAAAAAAATAAATTAAAATTAAAAATTACATATCGAATCCATGCATTAATTTGTACCACTTGATTTTTCTCATCCACGTCAACAATTTGTTGCAAGAAAAGGCGCATTTTGATAACTAATGGCATACTTGAATTGCTTACTGGTCGTTCTAATACATTATAATTTGTTAGCAAATCCGTAAACAATTGCCTTTCATCGTTACTAGCACATACAAAATTTGTCATCAAAGTTAGCAACAAATAAACAATCGAGAATATATATAGTATTTGGCGCAAAAAGTTAGCCAATCTTGAAATAATCATACCGGAAAATCCGCGGAAAATGTAGAATTACGGGTGTAGTAATAATAGATAGAATATTGATCGTAGTGCTAATATAACATTGTTTCGTGAAGGAAAATAAAATTTAAAAGTAAATGGTTGTAATGAATGAATGTCTCTTAGCGATATGCTGAATAGTTTGTCGATTTAAATGCAAACAAAATGACAAAGATTTGAGTATTTGTCAGAAAAACCGAATTTGACAAATTTAAAAAAAAAAAATTAAAAAATTTTAAAGTTAGAATATGATTTGAGTATGTTTAAGAAAAAGTGAATTTGATAAAATTTCGAATAATTAGAAACTAATTTCAACTTATTCAGCTTAAATGGTTTCGATGAAAGCCAAAGATTAGAAAACAAAAAAAGCTTAACTTTTAGATTTGTTTATATTGTTAAGTAAATCATTGATTTTTTTTCTACATTATTTTGAACTATTCAAAATTACATTTTTTAAGGTATTCAAACGGATGAAACGCTGAAATTGTTTTTCCATTGACAAAATTTTTGCTTTTCCTTTTTTACAATTTTGTAGATAGATAAGTGATAATAGAATAAACTTACCTATAAATTCATTATACTAGTAGTTTAATTTATTGCAAATAAGTTTTATATTAATTTGATGAAATGACAGTTCTTTGAATTTATATTTTTGATGCAAAAAAAAAAAAAAATTTCCTTTACTATTGCAATTTATTAAATAAATGAAATACTGCGCCATATGAAAATGCAATTAATAAATGAAAATAATTGAAAATGTCAAATTAATTTCTACTTTTTTATTTCTAAAATACCAAACAAATATTATAAAATCTTAATATCAGATTACGGAAGCGTAAATTCGTGTTTTAAATGGATTCAAATGAAATGTATTTCAAATTTGTAACTTTTTATCCAATTAATTGTCTAAAAAAAAAAATCAAAAAATTATACCAAAGTAGTAAAGAATTGCCAAAACGGTGCTAAAAATTCAGGAAATTCATTTATTTTGGCTGCAGATTTTTTCCATGAAATGTTTAATTTGTCGCATATTAATTAAATTTCCTCTTTCAAATAAACTTTCATTGGTTAATGTTACACAATTTTATCTATTTTGCTGATTTTTTAATTAAATGATTTTTTCGCAGGAAATCAACTTTTAAATATTTTAAATCATAAAATGATATTATTCCACTTTTCATAAATTTTGCTTTATTAGATAAAGCAATACTACAAGAAAATAATCGAAATTATTATTAATAATAAAAAGTTCAAAAAGTAAATAAAATGAGTTCATTTTTCTTCTACACTGAATTATCTGTAAATTTATCTGTATTATTTTGTATTTTAAATTATTTGCTTGATTATTACGACCACAACAACGACCACGTATTGAGTAAAATAAGAATGTACGAAGCAGTAAAGTTTATTTTTTATTTACAGAGTTGCTCATTTCTAAATTGAAGTGTTCAGTTTATTTAATTTTTTTTTCAAGGCACACAATTATTTCAAATTTAAACAAATATTACAATTTTTTTTTTTTTTTTGAGAAATAAAATTCCCAGTAAAAATAACTAATATATTAGTTTGCTTAAACATCAATCATTAGACTACAGAAATTCTTCATGCAAATATTTCATCTTTAAAAATTACCTTAATAATAAATTTTTTCAAGTGTCCTTCTGTCTGTAGTTCAAAAATTTTCATACAATATAAGAGAATTAGTTTTTTCTTTTCGTTTCATTGTGTATAATTACCCGAAAAACTTTTCAAATCCTCTTTGTCCTCATAACAAACAGTAAAAAAAAAAAAAAAAAAAAACTTTTAAATTTTGATCAGTAACTGTAATTCGAACAGATAAACAATAAATTGAATTATCGCGAAATTTTCTCTAAAGTAATGTTTTAAAATTGACAATGTAATGGCCAAAAATGAATAAAATATTGAATGCTAAAATATCTAAAAAGTATTCCGAAAAGAAAAAATAAATATAAATTAAATGATAACAATTAGGAAATTTTAATACGATACATTTGAATTTCCTGAATAAAATTTTTTTGCACAAATATTCAAAAAAAAATACCTAAAATTCTTTTCAGCTTTTTTAAAAATAAAAAAAAAAATGCATTTTTGCAAAAAAATTAGCACGAAAAAGCGATTTAAATTGATTCCGAAAAAAGTAGAAAATATTAGCAAAGTTTATTGATCATTTTTTGAGATATATCAATTCATGATAAACATATCTGGAAGAGTAGTGACAAAAGAGGAAGGATGCATGCATTCTAGAACTTGTTGTGCGTGCGTTCTAGAACTTGTTGTGCATGCGTCCTAGAACGTTCTAGAACTTGTTGTGCTCCTGCTTGGTCTCCTTTTTTTTTTTTTTTTTTCTGCTTGGTCTCCTTTTGACCAGCGATAACAATTCATTATTGTTTGTGTTTTGACAGGAATAGGGTTTAACTATTCGATAGTGTATTCTTTTCTTTGAAATCTTGCAATATCAATTATGGAAGTAAACTTATTGCTTTTTTTCTGAATTGAACTACTAAATTTTGGTATTAGGGAAATTTCTGTTACATCTTAATCGCTAATAACGTTGACTTTTTAGGAATCGCAAATGAGAATAATAACATAACAATGAGCAATTGCACATTTATTAACTCCTGAAGTAAATAAATTTATATTTTAGTTTACAAAGAATATCGGCATGTCAAGTTTTTTCCAATTTCAAATGAAAATTTTCAGATATTCTATTGGCACTAAGTTATTTCTTTTTAATTAATTAAGTATTGTTTTTATATCATTAATTATTGTGGTTCATTTGATTTATAAATTGGCATTAACATCAACTGGACTTTCTCGACATTGTGATCAATGTCACTTTAATTACTTAAAAAGATTGTGTTCATATTTGGATCATTACTTATCGCCACTAAGTTGCATAGGGCAAAAAAGTGTAAAAGAAATTTCAAATTTACATTTTTTTGTTTTACAAAAGTATTCAAAAAAGTCTGAAATTTTCTTTAGTTTTTTGAAAACAAAATTATCTCGAAAAAGCAATTTAAATTAATTCCGAAAAGGTAGAAAATATTGGCAAAGTTTATTGACTATTTTTTTCAAATTTTTGAAGACAGCAAAAATTTTTTGATTTTGGGCAAAAAAGTGTAAAAGAAATTTCAAATTTACATTCTTTGTTCTACAAAAGTATTCAAAAAAGCCTGAAATTTTCTTTGGTTTTTTGAAAACAAAATTATCTCGAAAAAGCAATTTAAATTAATTCCGAAAAGGTAGAAAATATTGGCAAAGTTTATTGACTATTTTTTTCAAATTTTTGAAGACAGCAAAAATTTTTCCAAATTTTTTCCTAAATTTTTGAAAACGGCAAAAATTTTTTGATTTTGGGCAAAAAAGTGTAAAAGAAATTTCAAATTTACATTTTTTTGTTTTACAAAAGTATTCAAAAAAGTCTGAAATTCTCTTTAGTTTTTTGAAAACAAAATTATCTCGAAAAAGCGATTTAAATTAATTCGGAAAAGGTAGAAAATATTGGCAAAGTTTATTGATTTCCAAATTTTTTCCTAAATTTTTGAAAACGGCAAAAATTTTTTGATTTTGGGCAAAAAAGTGTAAAAGAAATTTCAAATTGTCAATAAACTTTGCCAGTATTTTCTACCTTTTCGGAATTAATTTAAATTGCTTTTTCGAGATAATTTTGTTTTCAAGAAACTAAAGAAAATTTCAGACTTTTTTGAATACTTTTGTAGAACAAAGAATGTAAATTTGAAATTTCTTTTACACTTTTTTGCCCAAAATCAAAAAATTTTTGCTGTCTTCAAAAATTTGAAAAAAATAGTCAATAAACTTTGCCAATATTTTCTACCTTTTCCGAATTAATTTAAATCGCTTTTTCGAGATAATTTTGTTTTCAAAAACTAAAGAGAATTTCAGATTTTTTTTGATTATTTGTGCAAAAAAATTTTATTCAGGAAATTCCAATGTATCGAATTAAAATTTCCTAGATGCTATCATTTAATTTATATTTTTTTTTCTTTTCGGAATACTTTTTAGATATTTTAGCATATTTTAGCGTTCAATATTTTATTCATTTTTGGCCAATACATTGTCAATTTTAAAATATTATTTTCGAGAAAATTTCGCAATAAAACTTTTTTTCCAGTTTTGTTCTGTTGTTTTACACGCAACATTTAATCGGCTTAACCGGATGAGAAATTTGTTCAAACCGTTTCCGGCTAACGGCATATCGTGTTGTCATTGTTAGAAATGTAAATAATTTTCGATTTGAATTTAGCAATTGTCAATTTCATCTCAAAGAAATTGTTATATTGAGACATAGTGTATTAACAGCAAATACATTAAGAATAATATTTATCAAAGTTTGCATGAATGATACTTCTTCAATCGGCAATTTTCCATTTTCTAAGAAATTCATCTAAGCAATTAAAGAATTAAAAAATTAATTGATTAAATTAAAGGACTAGTGGAAAAGAATAAAATGACTGATATAAAGAAAATAAAATTGAAAACCACTAGTATAAAATATGAAAGAACTAATATTAACAGTACATAAGCACTGATAAATTCATACCAGAATCTGTTTGTATCAGCAAATTAACAGAGTAGTAGCTTATTGTTTTAGCAATTCAATAACAAAAACGTCAAATTTACGTCACAATGCAAAGTTCAACATTTATACTAATTAATTACTGATTATATATCAGTGACAATTGGACTACTTTTAATTCCTTTGATGCGAAACCTTTTCGTCTTATCACTTCGTGCTATTTCATAACAACAGTTATCATAGAAACCGGTCCGCAGACTGGTTGATAACTTTTGAGGTGATAAGGGAATATCACTGTGATATGCTTGAATGGTTGACTCAGTAAAAAAGATTTCAACCGATTCACTAT